AGAACATTCCCCTGCTCTAAAAGCACTGACCATTACAGGGATCTTGAAAAGCGTTTGACAAAAAAGCACTTGGATGGTGGAGTTCACAATTCCTGTCCCCAATCCCTGGCACACCAGCAGATGGCAACCCAGCTCCACAGACCCCTGACAGGCTTGAATAAAACACAGCCATCGGATTCCAGTTCCATGTGAGGAATTACCCACCTTGGAATAATCTCACTCACTGATCAAATCTGTAGCAAATTCCTTCCTCATAGACAGGAACAACACAATTTTTAATTTTCTTTTTAAAAAACAGTGCCCTGCACAGGGGAAATATGCTATTAGGGCAAGTTTATGTATTAGATACAACTGATTCTATTCCTAATATAGTTAATATGAACTTTTAAAAAGCAAAGGAGCAAAAATTTAGAAAGTAAGTAGTCAATATTACCTACTCCATGGAAAAAGCCCACCCCAATTTGGACAGCAAAAGCACCATGCCACAGTGGGAGGTCTGTCTGCTACCAGGCTCACAACCCACGCTTCCTCACCCAGCAGAGGCCCCAACATCACAAGGACGACCCATTCTCCCCATTCCACTCAGTATTGCCTAATCCACACAGCTTTGGGGAACTGAGCATTTGCAATAAAACAGTCAGAGTGTTATTCAGCAGAGGAAGCTCTTTGGCTTGAGAGTTATTTCAAATCTTTTTTTTGCATTTGAGCCCTTTCTACTCAGATCATTATTCAAAATCTAAGAGGCTTGGGGTTTTAACCATTTCTTCTAGAACAAGATGAGGCAAAGGTGAACTCTCTGGCACTGTGTGCTACTAYAACAAATATGCAATTATTTCACTTTGTTTCAACCATTACCTTCAAAAATAAATGTCAAACCCTAAATCATGTGAAATTATCCTGTGAAGATGAGACTGACCCTACAAGGAAATCTTGCAAGTCTGGCACCAGAGGATTAACAGGGCAGCAGCTGCTTAGTCAGCAGCCTTCATCTCTGAAGATGAAGAAATGGYTCTGACCACATCCCATGTGGTACAGAATATAAGGAAGAAAGTTTACACTAAATAGAACTGCAACCACCAGGCTGAAATTCTCAATCTCATTTTCCAAATTTATGTTCAATTTTTAAATTCAAGGGGTACCACAAGTTTCAGTTCAATGCTGGCAGCACTTCAGAAAATTGAAGTTTGTAAGTATTTTTAAAAAGAGTTTCAAAATTTCTTTCACAAACCTATCTAAGTTTCCACTGACAGCCTTCCTCAAAAGTTTTCCTGTGGCCACAGTTGGCAGAAGGAACATGCATAGTTTCTTATTCCTGGAATATCTCAAACTTTTCCAGGCATTAGATGGTGAGCAATGCACATGAGATGTAGTCCTAATTAATGGGYTGTCAGATGTTTCTTTCACAAAACCCAGGAGAGAGTGTTTGAGATGCCATCTCTGAGAGGGGCCAGGATGTGGGACACACACAAAATCTGTCTCCACAAATACAGATGCACATTCAGCATTAGTGTAGTGCTCTAGTTGTGCATCTTTAATAAACATGAAGGGAAAGCCACCCCTTGCCCACCCATAAATGCTCAGCTGTGGAATATCAGCACCTTATGGAACTGCTTCTGACAATCAATTTCATCACACTCAGTTCTGTCAAAATTAACAGTTGAAATAAAGGCATTCCCAACCTACAACAATCACAACCATCTCTTCACAAGGTCCTTTACCTTTCTAAAATTTAGAAACCTTGACGCTCTCTATGTGTTTATTCAAAAGAAAATGCATCAATATTACTGATCTCCTGCACCACCCGTGACAGGACTCAAGGAAACAGGACAAAGCTGAGTCAGGAGAGGTTTAGGTTGGCTATCAGGAAGTTTTTCAACCAGAGGGTGGCTGAGCACTGGAACAGGCTCCCCAGGGAAGTGGTCACAGCACCAAAGCTGTCTGAATTCGASAACTTTTGGACTACACTCTGAGGCATGGGGGTGACTCTTGGGGTGTCCTGCACAGCACCAGGAGTTGGACACAAAGATCCTGTGGGTCCCGTCCAAATCGTCATATTCTAGTATTCTATAATTCTATAACCTCCCTTAAAAAAAAAACACAGTCCAAAGTCTAACTCTTTTTATGACAGGGTAAGATCTCAGATAAATCCCCAAACTAAGTCCATAAAATTGCCCTTCTGTTCCTTAAACATGCACTCTATACATATTTCCTGCACCAAGTTTTTTTACTGTGTTTAGGTCTTGACAGCAGGAAACTCCACTGAGATGCCCTCATGATGCTTTATGTGTTTTCCTCTGATTACTTCCTCGGCTATCTTAGGGATTTAAAAGTCTTAAATAGGATACTCCCCACCAGAATTCAATCTCATAGGATCAGAGCCATTCGTCTTAAGGTAGATGATGAGCTGAAGGTCATCCTCTGAAATCCTCACATATATTTAGAAGGCACAGAGATCAGATCAACACCGATCATTCCACAATGACAGCACTCAGCATTCACTCTGTTCTGCTTTCTTTCTCAAGTCAAGGACCCAGTGGCAACTGCTGTGCAGGCACTTGAATCCAGATTATCACACACATACAAGCTGAAAGATTCTGCCCAACAATAAACTGTGTTTATACGGTTTAGCAAGTTAGAGTTTGATGTATCCCCATTTCTGGAGTCATGGCTGATTAACCAGCCTAGATATCAGTCTTGTTTTAGAAGCTGAAAATTAATTTCTGTAGATTTGCTACTGTTAACTATTTAATTTTTGCCTTGAAAGTATTTTCCAAGTGGAAAATAATGCAATTTAGGCACAGTAAACTATCTGTAGGATTAGTAGTGGCTAGAAAGCAGTTAAAAATCTACATTACCAAATGCCACAAAGTAATTTAGCAAAGGAAAATCTACTGATACCAGCAGTGCTAGAAAGAGGGAGCAGAAACAATGCACACAGCTTCCCCAGATCACACTCCACTTCTCTCTAGCTATCCAACTACTGTATTAYAACAAATAACAGAAGAATTAAATGCTCTAGCAGTCAAGGCTGGCATATTAAAATGACACTCTGCATTATTGAAGTTACTCATCTCTTAATAGAGCTATTCTTCAAAGGAGATTAATTATACTGGCAAGAGACCTTTTGCTATTCTAATTTGTGAAACCTATTTCAATACCACAAGCATATTAAAAGAGCTGCAAACATGTAACTAGCTCCAAGATCCCAGGACTCACTGCAGTTAATTAGGTGTTCATCTTGTGATGTTCTTTAGTCACTGCTTTTGAAACCCACTTCATATAAAAATGTTTAATGTCTAGGCTTAATTAACCACAACTGTAATGAACGTAAAGCCCATCATAGAATATACAGAGATAGGAAAGTGACCTTGTATTTCAGCACGTAAACACCATCACGGAGGGACAAAACCCAGATTTATAGATGAATTTTTCTACTGATACTTAGGGAACAGAGAATTTCAAATTATTTTAAAGTAACTCGTTGGCATTGTGTTTCATATCAGAACATTTGAYAGACAGCACAAACACTGCCGTGACAAACTGAAAACACGGCATATGAATAATATGCAGAATTATGACATGCAAACATCTGCAGCTCGCTGAGCTGCACACAGATGTTAAGCAACAACCTCGTATTCCAAATTAAATATCTGAGAATTAATGCTTTGTTTTAAAGCATGGTTATTTTCATTAACCTAAGCTATGAAGCTTCAAGGCATTTATCTGCCTCTAGAGAACAGGCATGTGTTTTAACATATTACTTTTTCTAATCCCCATCAGATAAATACTTATATGCCAAATTCATATGAGCATTCTCCCTTTCTGTTATCATTGATTTTAGAACCACCGGTGAGAGCATAAATTTAAGGCAAACACTGAGCAGGCACCAAATTAAGACAAAATACAATTAAATCACATCAGAAGAATTTCAATATAGTAACATGTCTGAAAAAGTCAAGACTACAATTACTTCATTGTGAAATCAAAATTGGTTGTAACACAGACGTGTGGCTTTTTGAACCCTAAAGATTTAAGTTTCCTTTCATAGCCTGGTGGTGCCAAACTGTCTAGGAACCCCCAAAAAATTCTCAGGACTGTATCCAAAGTACACCCTTTTACTTAAGGGGTCATTGCTTCCAAACAGTCTTACAATGTAACATAAATTTAGCCACTTACTTGCAGCTTTATTAGCAGCACACACCGAAATTCCTCACTTGAGTAAAAGTTGTTACACAAGTAGCTGCAGATGTTCAGCAAGAAAACATTTCAACTTTGCTTTTCATCTAATATTTACCAATAATTTCTGTTGCATATATGCCTACTCACAAAATAACTGTCTTTTCCTACTCTTGTATTTCTCTTCTCACACTTCAGTGATTTTAGATTTTCAGAAGTAATAAGGAACATCTACAAACAAAACACACGTTCCTTTTGTGTGCAATTCAGACTTGACTGTAGCCACCTAAGTGCCCCCACACAGAATACTCTCTTCCTAGAAAACATTAATTTAACACATACAGCATTCATCAGAAATACTTTCACTTTACCAAAACCTTTTGATAGAAGCCATGAGGAAGAGCAGATGTCACTTCCAGCTCTTCAATTCCTTGGACAGTTATCCCTTTCAGACTCGTTCCCCTAGCTATTCCCTAGGGAAACAGGCAGAGGTAGCTGTTCAGAAAGCTGCTTCCCAATTAAACTTTGTTGAAATGCTTGGGTTCCCATGCTCACATCTCCTAGACTTTCAGTTGTATTCCTTTCAGGCATCTGGCAACTTAAGTAGCATTGAGAAGGAACATCCCCAAAAAGAAATTATTTTCTGTCAAAAGCAGGATGAACATATTCACTTCTTAGCTCACCCTGTACCCTAAAACATCGCTCAGGAACAAAACGTTGCTTTCACTGAGCAGGAGCAGGGAAAACAAGGTAAGAACTGAAGCACAGGATCACATCACTTTTTATAGCACAAAAGCACCCCAAATATTGCCAGACTCACTCACCAAACCAGCAGTAAGTGAAGGAGCAGATTGTCCTAGAGACTGATTTCTCATGCGGACCAGGTTGGAGGTATCTCCAGGAGGCTGCCATATCGTCTGGCCCACTCCACTGTGGACACTATTTGATAAGGGAAGTAGCTGTTTTCCTTTAAAAATAAAATCAAAATACTATCAGCTTGTTTTTAAACAAGTCTGCAAGTTCAAAGTACAAAGCTGAGAACAAATACTGCATGTGAAGAAAAAGTATTTAATTAAAAAAGCAATTTCAAGACTTTGGTAGGTTAAAACTTGTAAGAGCGCCCCACCAGCAAATTCATTATATTTGATAACTAACAATTTCCAAAAAATCTACTTTACATTATGAGAGAATGGAGAAATCCAAAAACCTTGTAAAAACAGACTGCTGTTACTTTATAACTTTCCATATTCCACACAGCTTAAAAAGAAAACAATATTTGTGGCCTTATAGGAAGGCAAAATCTATTCAATGTAATTTTTTAAATTCTTATGAAATTGTATTCCTAATTGTAAAATATTATCTCCTCTAAATAACTCAGTCATCTACACATCCCCACTTTCTCCTACACTGGAACATTCAGCACTGCATTTCATGCAGCTGCAACATAATACAGTGTATGTTTAAATATTGTCTTGCTTTGAACCATGGATGGATATTTTCTGCTCAATACGTATTTTCTAGTCAATGTAACACTGCTTTTTGAAAAATGTCAAGCAGTAAATTTCCACAATAAGAAAGAACCAAAGTCAAAGTAGGTCATACTTTGACTCCATGGAGCTTGACAGCTTTCTTTTATGTACAGTGTCATTCACAAAGAAAAAAGAGAAGAAAGATATTTCTGTGGTTAAAAACACATAAGTGAATAAGTCTGTGTATCTGGGTTCAGTTGTTAGCTTCCAGATGACTTACTCTGTAAATCTGGTCAGCAAACCCCTGTACTTCAATTTGACCATCTGCAAAATGGGAGGGGATAAGACCTCTTTTACTTAAAATTAGGACTACGGGACTAAATAACCACCCCCCTTCCAAGCATAGTAAAGATTCTTGCATTCAATGGATTATTACATGCTCAGGAATCACAGGGGACTGAGACATTTGTTGCATTAAGTAGCAGGAAGTCTAGACCTTTATTCACATATGTGCTCCAGAAAAAGACTTGTTCTCTCAGAAGCAGAAAGTTATTTACAAATTCAACTTCACCTTAGAACTAGATTTGAATTATTACATTTAATCCATAAAAATGGCCGCAATATTTGGAAGACTGTCACATAATGTGATCAGCCATGATGCTGGGGGGAGGGCAAGGAGCAGAAGTGTGTATTTTTTTCCTTTTTTAAGTTGTTTACATTCATTTTCTGTGACAGTTACAAGCAATGGGCCAAGTACACACCAATAGAATGAGTCAAAGCATATGAGAGATGAGAAGGCTCAACTTTGTCTGGCAAACAGAGACACAACATATTAGTACCCTCTTCTTAGTCCCACTCAAGCTGCTTACTGATATGGATGTGATTTTCATGGTTTGATCATTTTCAAGATAATACAAATTATTGTATAAATTGTATAAATACAATTACTCATCTTGTCTGCAGAGACCTAAAACTACAGAAATGTACATTGCTGTATTTACTCTGTACAGCACTGACAAAGATATCCTACCACTGCAGGTCAAATAATGTAATTACCTAGCAGTTTAAAATACTTGTGCTTGAGAGCAAGAATTTATTTAAGACTCCATAAGATACAGTTATCAATATCTCCCTTTGGTTTCCCAAAACCTGAATCCAGGAGGACAGAACTCCATCAAGAGGCAAATCTCAGCMAACCAGTTTGCACAATCATCTACACTCTAAGCTTACTTGATTCTGTGGCAAAAATAATGTGGAATCATTTTAGGATGGAGCTTTAAGCTAAAGCCTTTCCCTGTCTCAAAAGCTCTACATCAAAGTTCTGCACGCATCCCAAACACCCACACTAACAATATAAACATGTATACATCTAAATATGTATATTTTCTTTATCCATTTGGGTCAGACTGATCCTGCTGGGGGTCTCTGCCCCTTCCTGAATATGTTACAGTAGATTGAAATATCATCAAAATGAATCAACAGGTTCTCGAGAATATGGCATTCTCATAAATTTTCTGTTCTGAAATTATTATCATCTCCAAATAGAAAAATTATTTTAAAATAGAACAGAACTCCCAGTTTTCCTGTTTCCTTCTATTTACTTTCCTTTCTTCTACTCAATGGGAAAAAAAAAAGCAAACTACAGTACTAACTTGGGCATTGCAGTCACTCAACAGCTGTGTAATTCATAAACTTGTTTTCCTCTAGTGATTAACCTACCTCAAAGAACAAACTTTCATGCACACAAAGCACGATGAATGTTTCCATTTTTCAGAAACCAGCCACTTACTACAAATAAAACACTAAGCCAAGGCCAAGCCAAAACAAAACATACACACTTTACTGCTTATTTAATTCTATAACACCTAACACCTCAAACATGAAAATATTTATCTTCCCCTGATAAAAGTTGAGGGATCAGGACTGAATGTATTTTCACAATCATGTAAATCAAGCCCATGTTGATGCCAAAAGAGGTGGTTTCACCTTCTTCCTCTTCCCCTCCCACCCGAGAATTTTCAGCTCTTCTAGTTCTTGCAATAGCATGCAAATAGGCACACAGTCAGTTTAATTAGGGAGGAAATGTGTTGCAAGTTAACCCTACAGAAAAACAGTGGCATTCAGGCATATCAGTTTCTTTCATTCTAGACTGATCATGCAGCTCATGCTTTATTCTACATCTCAGACTTTGATACCAGCTTTGAACAGTTGTGAAACCACCCCCTAGCCCACTAACAACATCTTTGAAAACAAAGAAAACTACTCAACTTGGTCCATTTTTGGCTATTAACTTGCCTATGCTTGCTCCATGCTTCTACAGCTGACAAACTAAATTCTATTAATAGGGTTGAATATTATGTTCATATAAAAAAAAAAACTTTATACAAATTAAAAAAAAATAAATATGGCAAAGTGGGCAAGTTTAACATTCAGTGCTGATGTTAAAAGGGTCAAGACTGCATTGATGCATCACCTGAAGTTCCACCACTCCATTCTTTTAACCTTGCATATTAAATCTTACCTTCTAACTTTTCACTCAGGTCAATATATAAAATTTCCCTCAAAATTCAAGCTTTTGCAGTCTTTTCTATTAGTATTTCTTTTTGCATCTGTCTCTTACATAAACTTTCGCATGCCCTGCCAACAAGAGGTCACCTTACCAGTGACTTACCAGGATCTTTTATTACAACTGCTATGCCAACAAAGCTGCATCTCTAATACTAACAAAGTGTCACATCGTCTTTACAAAATGGCATACCTGACAAAGAACTTGCCAAGCTACCTCTTCGTAGCTTGCAGTCATCTTGACTTAACTGACGGTGGAGCTTGGTTTTCCCAGCAGATGAAAAGATGTCAGGATTGCTGAGCTTCCTGCAACGCAGCGGAGTGGACTCCGTTATCATCTCCTGSAGAAAGAAACACAAGCACAACTTTGTTAGTGACAGCCAAGTATTCCTTGTCTGAAACACGCAATCTCCAAAGCATAAAGGAGACTGTTGAAAAAACCACTAAGAAACACACTCCACCCCACCACCCACAAAAACAAAACAAAACAAACAGAAAACAAATTTACACCGTAGAACCCCCTCTTTGGTGCCCCATTACTGCACAGAAAGCACACCACAAGGTCCCAGTCAACTGTGGTCCTTGAACCCCACTCGTGTAAGAAACACCATTAATAATAGTCAGAAAAAGGCAATTGTGCTGTAGTAGTTATTTTCTCTTATGGTATGTATGAAAAAGGGCACTGAAAGAACAGGTTCAGCTTTGATTAAAGCTATTTCCTGCTAAAGCAAAAGTACTTTCTCCAATCTTCTTCAATCTTTATTCCATCCAGTCTATGAGTAATACACCTAATAAAGAAACTGTTGCAATTTCTATTGCAACTCAAAACTCCTTTTACAAGTTACAGCTCTACCAAGACCAAACGCATAACTAAATAATAATTAGGATAATGATCAGCCTTTGTGTCATGTCTTTGTTATTACTACAAACAAAATTAGACATGTATTTGTCAGAAGCACTCCCACACATGTGAATTCCTTTCACAGCACACAGCAAAATTTCAGTCAAAATAGCGTAGGCAGAGCACTGTCAAGCACARCCACAGCGCTTTCCTCGCGCTTTTCATTGTTCTGGAGGTGTCAAAYTCTCATTCCACACCCAAGGAAGAGCTACCAGCACTGCCATCAGACATGGATTTGAAGATGTGACACTTTCTATTACAGCCCATATGGATGAACTGCTCAAGTTCTCCCTTCTCTGCAGCAGTGTGAAACATTCTGCTTGTTTTAATGGWCTCCTCCATTTTATTTCAAATGTCTCTCATTAGTTACACAGCACTTCAAGCCATGCTTATCCTCATAAAATCTCATCTGAGGYAGAAAAATAAACTTTCCCTGCATGATACATTACCACACTATTTAAAATTATGTTTAAATCAAAAACTAGTTTACKAGTTAYRGGTTTTAATTAAAATTTGCAGATTCYGGTCAAAATCTATTACTGAAGTCATTAATTCAAATCTATTCAGTCTGTAGCATTATGCCTCAAACTGACAAATGCAGACCAGGACTATACACTTTAAAACCTCAAGGGGAAGGGAGGGGAGCAAAAGGAGATGAATAAAGTGGTTTTACATGAAAAAAAAACCCCGCTTTGGGATTTGAAATAGAATTCTCATTTAGCTCTGAGTCACTCATTCTCAACCTTCCTTAGACCCCATCTCCTTCTAATCATGAAATCTTTTGGCACCTCACAATACTGAATAACTTTGTTATTGTTTGAGGGAYAGCAGTGCTTTGCTCCACATCAGCRGTGCACCTTTCCCAGGCTGCTCTGGATGCAATTTCTTCTCCRGTTCTGGTCAGACTTTCAGTCTCCACACTAAACCAGACCAAGAGGGACACCTGGGTACCAGAGCAGGTCAGGTCACTCACCCAGTTCACCTCACAGCTGCACACATTGTGCTGGTGCAGGAGTGGGGAGGGCTCACCAACAAGTGACCTGAGGCAGGGAAAACTGCTCAAGGTGAGAACTGTTTTAATTGATGGTTCCTCGTATCCATCTTGGAGTCAAGAGCATCACAGCTTCATTTATCTGTGACCTTCCCCACAAAGGTACTGGAATCCTTCATTTCCAGCAGCCTACATTTCTGCTTTTCTGTCATTTGTAGAGCTGAAAAGGCATCTACCTGTCTTTCTCTTTGTACTTGGGAGTAAGCTAAATAATATTAAATTGYAGCATTAGCAGTCCCCCAGCACAGGGACCTCTCTGAAAGCTGCAGAGACCAAGGGCAGAGAGTCTTGGCTGCTTCTGTTCAGGATGGCACAACATGGTTACATCTGTGCACACAACTGTAAGCAGAAATACAGAAACAAATAGACACTTTCAATAAGGCCTGTCCTGAATGTCTATAATGTCTAAAATCCAGCACATGTTCACTGCCTCTGACAGTCTGAAATTACCACACCTCAAAAAAAAAAMCMAAMMAARRAAAAAAAACATTAATATGGGCACTCCAGGTTACAAATTACTTAAGAACCTCATCCAGCCTACCCTCTCACAATCCTTATGTTTCAATTTCAAATGTTCCCAGCACACTTCAGTATCCAGTTGCTTCCCCGAAACTAGTCATGTGTTGAAAGGCACCATGTACACCGTCAGCAGTTAAAATAAAATGTCAAAGACCAACTCGAAGGGAAATGTTCTAACCGGGACTGCTTTGTTCAAAGTTTTGGGGGTGTTTGTTGGTGGTTTGGAGGTTTTGTTTTGCTCTTTTGGTTTTTTCCCCTGCAGGTGCATATCCACCTCCCCTTCAACACATACACAAACACCTCTCACCAATCCTTCTCAGTGAACTGCAACTAAATGAGAACATTCATTCACTTGGGACACCAGGCAAGGAAAGGCACTGAAGTCAGAAACAAAAAAGTACTCTAARTCATGTTACAAGCAATTTCTGTATTTTCCATCTCTTTTTCTCCACATTATACATAGATATTCACATGCCCCTACCAGGCAAAGAATGTACCCACTTCCCTATTCTTCCCCTTTTCCCTCTATAAACAGTCTCTTTTTATTGGTAAAAATAATTACAAATTCTTAATGTGCTTTCTTGAGTTACAGTACACAAGTCTTTAGATCTGATAATATCTAAACCAAAGTTCCCTGGCTGAAGGGCACACCTACTCCTGCCACAATATCTGATCAGCACACACACCTYYGAGGTCAGCCCAATGGCATAAGCTACTTCTCAAAAAGCCATTCTCTGTGACAGCAGTCCCCAGGTTCAGCTTTCCAGCAGAACTTCTACCACAGAGATAGGGGAGCAAGAGTCCAAAGGTAAAAACRGCYTCCCACACTCACCAAAGAATCCACRTTGTCTTCTAGACAAGAYAGATTTRGTACATATTACATAAGGAAAATTCTTCATGAGCTCTTTTTCTGTTAAGCACATTAAACACTCGGGCAATATTCAGAAGATGACATAGGGGTTAAATGTCTGGAAGAACCACACTCTGCAGGTTTATATACTGTTTAACTCACTTTTCAAACAGATATTAAAAAAGTTCTTTTAAAAAGTGCACTGTTCTGAGACGGYCTATTAAGTTTTAAAAAATGCCAAGTGCCAGTTCAAACACACAGCCAGTTCAAAATTTCATTTTCTAAGAGCTGTGCCCATAATCTGTCAGCAAAACAATGAAGAGGAAAAGTTTTAGCTTGACAACAATAGAGATGTCTTTCACACGACGGCAATTTACTTCACTCATCCATCAAAACCCTGCTTTGATATTGCAGATCACAGACGAACTGCATGGAAATAGCATTACATTACATTACCACTCTTAAACAAGGCAGGAAAAAAACCTAGAAGAGATCTTTCCCTACCCTTGCCCCAAAGCAATGCATACAAAGAACACAAAAATCTTACACAACATTCCAAATCGATGAATGAAGAAATTCTTTGCATCAATAGTGCAAAATTTTGCTTATATGCTTTCAAACTACTAAACTAATCAATCAGAGCAAATAGCTGAAGAAAAGATTACACAGAACAAACTGCCATATTTTTAAGGACTCCACTTCCACTTTTCAAGAGAAAAAAAWKTTTACAACCCTAGAGATGAAAGCATTAGTAAGTACATAACATTTTACCCACACCGTGTGAAAAGGACTGTGAGCCTCTCTCCATTCATTTTTTTTCCAAGGTGATAAAGAACTTAATTTACTTTGGGCTTGTGGCTTTTGCCACAAGCTAAAAATCTGRTTCAAACAGCCATCTGATTCCTGCAAAGCTTTGGGCTGAAGATAAAATGTCACATAATCTTGATTTGCTAGGCAAAGATTATTGCTAWCAGTCCCTAAAAGGTGCACAAAAATTTGCTCACATAACTTGAGAAACAGCAGGATATGAAGAAGAATGGCCAAAGCTCTTCTTGACTATCAAGAGGCTCTGCATTTCTCAGCTCAGTCACTTACCACACTTGCACAGAAAAAATCATAAAAATAGCTCTGATACTGGAATAACACACAAATCTGTTCCTCTGGACTGAAATCTCACACTGGGATTATCACACTCAGCTAGATGGAGAACCARATCATGACAGGAGCTGCAGACAAAAGATAAGAAGCCAAACACGCTTCTCAGTTTGCCTGATCACACTAATAGACCCTGTTAAAATCCCGATCTGCTAATTTCAGAATGCAGCTACAGGGAACCTTCTCAGTCATCCTCTCCGTTCCATCGCACAGGAAAAGTTCCAAGCAATTAAAGCAGGAAATAAAAGGATCAGCACATAAACCACTGCAAGGATTTTCAGAAGCTCTTTTGTTTCCCTCATTGTTCATTTAATGGTGCTGCAGGACAGCAGCACAGCACAGGTCTTTAAACTACAAAAGGCAGGTGAATCCTGCAAATGCAGATTCCTGTTTTCCTTGGACTGCCAGCTGAATGACACATCAGCATCAGACCAATGTTGGGATAAAACTTCTTAAGCCCTGTTTTATGGCCTGCATTTAGGATGTAACAGATCATCCAAAGGACACTCCCTYACATGTGACTGTGTTATAACTAACAAACACATAAACTGCCTCGTGATYTCTACAAGAGCAAAAGTACTCAACWGTGACAAATATTCAAGTCTGCAGGTCAAAACATGTTAAACTGTTAGCCAGGGGGTGGGGAATCTRCACAAAAGTTTTCTATGAACAGGAAATCCATTATTAAGAAAAATGAGAAATCTTTTTTTGAAGCCTAATGAGCATAACAACCTCAGGTCATCTGGAAGTGAATCCTAGCAAAGTGTCAGATGGAAGAATGAAAATTTAACTACAATAAACTGRTCAAGAATTCACTGCTAATAGCCTATCCTGTAAGGAAGATAACCAATGAGCRATGTAACTT